TTTTTTTTATCTGAACAGCAGGCTTGAGCTTCCCACAAAACAAGATTTAAACGAGAGTAGCAGTCTGTGTTATTGACCAAACGTATGATGAGGATGTCTGTATATTGGTCGAGTTCTTTTCTTGCGTGTATATGGACCAAGACCAAGTCGAAGTCTATAAACAAACGAAGAACAAGGCCAATATCAAGCCATCTTGACCGAACAAGCTTACCCAGTGATGAATATATAGTTCAAAGGGCACAAATTTCTTGCGGGACACCGCGGGCAATCCCGAGTGAGCAGGATAGCCCCGTCTTACCAGCCCGGTAAGCCAATCCAAAAAAAAAGGATGCTGCTTAGTTCCTCGTTCTCGCTTGCGGAGCTAGCCATATAATAACGAGAATTATCAATATCACAGATCCAAACGTACGCGAACAGATAAAGGATTTTGGGGCAAAATGTACAGTTTACGTCAGACAGACTTGGTTTCAAGCCACCGATTCCTGTCCACCCCTCCCGCTTACAAAACAGACTTAAAGTCAGCGGTAATTTATAAAGTTACAGAAGGACGTCCCTTAATTCAACCAAGGCACGGTGAGTAAAAGTTCATTTTTCATTGAATCTAAGACCTTTTTACGGCCATCCAACGAGTTTAACAGAACTTTGTGGGTATTTTGAAACGAATACAGGAAAATGCATTTGAAACAGAGCTTGACTGACATAATTTTCATAGTTTTACGTATTTTCGCTTTACGAAGCTCGAAGCCAATGGACCAAAATTTTAAGAGCTTTTATTCGGTTCATACGAAACGTTTTGACAGTAATGTGCTATACACGAACTGACTTCGAGAATGAAAGTGTTCTTTGTTTTCTTGTGCGCTTGGTTTGCAGATATTTTACCGTTGAAATGGATATCCAGATGGAATTAACTTTTGAAGTGTTGGTCTATGAGGAACAAGGATTAAGCATCATTCAATGTTCCACGAATATTCTATTTTTCAGCCGCGCAAATGGGTGAGTAATTCAAAGTGTTGCTATCTGTCAAGTTATAAGATTTACTGTAAGTATCTGGATTACATACTTCTGTTATCAACACTCGAGCAAAGGTCAAACGTCACGCCGTTATAAAAATAGCCTCGTCTTGTTCAGCTCATCACAAGTTTTCAATTTTCTACCTATAATCTCTTATTTCTGTATCAATACAATGATCCTCTGTAGACGCTCTTAAAAATGAACATTTATAAGTAGGCTACAAGTAGGAAGAGCGACACATAGTGAACTTAGTTTCATTATCCTCATCAGCTGGATAATTTGTTTTTCTGACAAGTAGTGATCTAAACTTGTGTAAACCTGTTTGTATTCAATATTACTTTATTAACCAAGCCTAATGCATGTCAATTACTAACTGTTTAACCACACAGTTTACACGTTCAAGGCTGGATAGGAGCATATTTGGTACGTAAATACCTTCACTGGAAACTATATGACCCCATTCTTTGTCTTTAGTCTAAAATCTAATTTATTTCAATTTGCAAAGTAAAACTTTCTATAGTCTAGAAATAACCTTAAAACTATTTTTTTTTACAAGCTCGACAGTGAAATGCATTTTATTAATAATTCTTAAATGGTTCATGCAGTATATGAAGTAACTCACCTCCAAAAAAAAAAAAAAAAAAACCAAACAGAACCAGGTCAAATTTATAACCTAGATATACAAGATAGTGGTAAGCAGTGAACACTTCCAAATTCTAAAGCAAGAATTGGTTTAATCTATGTAAAATATTATGGAAGGAAACTGATTCTACCATTCTGTCTGAATGCGAATGTCCGAATTTTAGATAAATTAGTACACAAAACATCATCGCTTGCAACTCTATTAATTGCACACCGTTTGTGTTCTTAACAAGAATGAACCATAAAAGATGCTTTTGTATTCTTCAACAGTTTCAACTATGCTACCAAATACGTCTGGAAAGGGGGCAACTTGTTGTCTCGGTCATAAGATGTTTGGCAGAGTTTGTTTTCTGCGCTTATAGCAGGTAATTTAAAATATTATACCTATTACACTTACCTCGTCAGCATGGAGGTAAAAGTTATGACGCGGACAACAACAAAATAATTGGTAATACCATTTCAAAAGTGAGGACAGTACATTTGGTTTAATATATACAAGGGAACACACAATATTTCAGATGTGAAGATCAATAACTATTTTAGCTATAGAAAAAGTCATACTAAGTTTCTTTGAGGCCTGATTGTAGAGTACAAGATTTCCTTTAATAAATATTACTATATTTCTGGGTGTATGTAACATCATCATCATTATCATCATAGTCCTAGCTCTCCTCTGGGAGCATAGGGCCATGATTCAGTGTATGTAACTGCAACTGTAATTACATGTCGGAGATGATTGGATAATTTTAAACTGAGGTAATGATATTTTGTTACCTCGGCAGAGTTGCTTCTATTTGCTGTTCCCTGTAGAGCAATTGCTCCTCATATGCCATTTTGTTGTTAAGGTATCTGTTTCCCATTTTTGGTGTACACAGAGGCAATCTAGGTCAGGGAATCCAGAGACGAGACGATTCCAGGGAATCCAGAGACGATGATCAAGAAAATCAGGGCCAAGGATGGCTTGGAATGCCATGGGTACGCCATTTACATGTTTTTATCCCTCAAATTCAACTATTTATCTGTCCAGCGACGAGAAGACAAATAAAATGGTATGCCAAATGCAACCAACCGTCAGTTGTTCTTGATGACCTTTAAAATGAAGACTTATAGTCATTTCCAATTTACAAGATGGCCTGAATACTCCCATAAGTTCATGTGCATCAGTGTATTACATAGTGGAGTCATGCACTTTGCATAGCAAACGGTTTCAAAATGAAGTTTCTTGCATGATTGGCTGTGCTGCCCTTGCCAATTAATACCAAAGGCATCTGAAAGACCTCAAACTTTGAAGAGGACAAAAGGTGGTACACAATTCAGCTACATATTAGAAACCAACAACATGCAGACTATAACTGTTAATAATAACACAAGCGGTCGTTAAATAACCGAATGGAAATAAAACTCGCTCATAAAGACCTGAGAAAGATGGTCGTAGGAACCAAAACATCTAAACGCCTTCTAAACATTGCTATACCACCTTTAGTAAACGAAGGATAACCCTCTTAAATCTATATATATATTTGCAGTCTTAGATCTACGATTTGTTATTCTCTTTTTCCATAGATACCAGATGAACTCTGAAGACCAATCTATTCTATATTTCTATTAATGAGAACTATTTATCATAAATTAGAATATAATTTATTGCAACGATGTATCAAGTGTTAATGATAGACGGCCGAAATTAGCTTCATGATGAAAGTTATTAAACAAAATTCATGGAACCAGCTAGTAAATTCCTTCGTAATTTTGCACCTGCTCTTAACTACTGTTTCTTTTCTTATTGCTTTTACTAAAGGTATTAAACAATTCAATTATTCGCTCTCGATTTCTATCGCGTGATAATTGACGAGGGCGCAGCCCGAGTCGACTATCACGCGATAGAAATCGAGAGCGAGTAAGTTAATTGTTTTCGTATAAATCTACTAGTCGTTCAAAACTGTATCTAAATCCTCTTCACAGACACTTCGAAAGCGCCAAGAAGCGACCGTCATTTTGTAAACAGGGGTATACTGCTGCCCTACTATCTATCACAGAATAGATAGTGAGTAGCGTCGCCAATTAGACCCGTAGTCCTTTCCTCTGTTTCAGGGCCCAAAGCACTTAAAAAATGTGTCTGCGTTTTGGCATATTCAATTACAGTAAAAGTTACAGAACATTTTCGAAAGAGGATTAAAAAAACGTGGAGTGATCGTACAGAAATCGCTCTCGGAGAAAATTAATAATAATTAATAATAATTAATAATTAGCAGACACGTTTTTGTAGTTTATATGTTAAACTAGCTACTGTCCAAATTTGAGGGCAATTGAACAAATTCCCTTTGAGGTGTAACTCTTTAGAGTGTCTGCTTCAAGCGAAAAAAATTATTCGAGAAAACAACCCTAAGAAAAATCTTCCGCTTCGCAAACAAACTCCGCCCACAAACGCCTTCAACTGGGTTCTCAGATAACTGAGCCAATCAGTGCAGGGAAGGTTTACTACCGTTAACCTCCTGGTGAAATTTACGCACGAATCTCAAAAAACCCCCTGTGTTTCGCAATGCGCTCAAGGCGCCGAAGGCGGAGAGAAAATTTTTCTGTAGCTCGGTTTTTCTTGAAGCTTCTCTGACAAAATGGGGAAGACTAAAAGGGATACGCACGCTAGAGTGGCTGGGCGAAGAAAACAAAAGAAAGAAAGCGCGGCGGAGCAACTGTGTGTGGCCAACTGTGCATGGATAATATTTTAAATGGTCTCAATGAGTCCGACGATTCGTCGACTCAGAAGAGTCTCTGTCGACATCCCTGTTATTGCTGTCAAGTTCCGAAATTTTTACAGAACCTTTCTTTTCTCGTAGCACGAATTTTTTTCCCGCCTTATACGATAGCTATGGCTTCATCCGCGTGGCGAACTTTCGCTTCTTCACTCTTTGATGTATTTTGATTCGTTTTTCGCTGTTTTCGCTTTTTCGAACTGGCCCATGTTTTTAACGTGGTCTAAGTTTACTTAATAGAGTTACAACTTATACCAAAAATGCTTGGTAGTCACAACAACAATGCTGATCAACTGAGTAGTCAATTCGTGACATCGATACAGGTAATTCCCGCGAAAACCGTCTCGGTTGATTGCGTACGCGCCATAGGACTGTCAATCAAGAGGTAAACTTTTACTTCCGACGNCCTGCCAAATTTCCTAATAATGAACAACTCTCTTAAAACTGGGTAATACAATTCTTTCGATCACTGTCGGGTACGAAGCGAAGATAACCACACTTTCACTGGTATATTTCTTCTGGTTTACTTTTGCTGCGAGACGACCTCAGTTTGTATCGAATCGACTTCATATGTGTATCGAATCGTCTTCGATTTATATCGAAACGACTTTGTATCGAAACGACGACCATGAACCGTTGACCTCACCGTTTCATTAAAATTGAAGGTTGGCAAGAGTGATCAGAGTTAAAGACATCTTTCGTGAAAAACAACTTTTTTAACTTCCCGTGACTTTGACCGCAAGTTCGCAATTAAAACTAATTTCCTCACATAAAATGGCCATGCAACTCAATCCCTCAAAAATGGATTCTTTTGTTGAAAGCTGGTCTACGAAGAGTGCAGTACACATCTACGAATTCAAAATACGTAGGAAACTGACGTCATGGTGTCTGCCGAATTTTTGCGGTATTTTAGAGCTGGATACTTCAATGTCTCCCTCTGGCTGAGGTTATTCTGTTGTTTCCTTGTGCTGCACAAGAAACTGCTTAACCCTCACAGTGCTTCCATCTCTCAGTCCACGTATTATAAAAGGGCAATGGCGATAAGTTAAGGAGACTTTAGAATAAGCTGCTGGGGATAGCCTGCTGTGGGTTTGCATCTCATCTAGGGGGGAGTAGCAAAGCTCTTAATACTGCTTCATACCCGGATGAAAACTAAGTCCCGCAGAGCAGACCGGTTGACCCGAATGGGACTTGAGCTTTTTTTACTCAGCAGACAGAAACGCTCGTAACAATGTTTCCCGTACTTTCATTTTCCTCAATTTTTGATGTGAACTTTTCCTCTTTCTTGATCCGCAGTACGTGGTATAAAGATAACACGCGTGCGATGTCTAGGACCTTACAACGATTCGTACACGTGTCCTGGGCTGTCCGACCCTCCTGAAAGGACACACTGTTGTTTATGGGATGGTCAGCCTGCCTGTTGTCTTCCAGGAGGTTCGTCATGCAGCGGCAGTCATGCTGATAAGAGAAATTATTGCCCGGGCCCCAACTATGGAGAGGAACGGACGCAATGTTGTTTATGGAATAGCCAGCCTGCTTGTTGCCCGCAGGGAGGTTCCTCATGCAGTGACAGTGCTAATATCCGAAATTATTGCCCTGGTCCCGCTGATGACGGGAGTAATCAAACCCACTGTTGTGTATGGAACAGTAAACCTGCTTGTTGCCTCCCCGGAGGTTCTTCATGCAACGACAGTGCTGATATCCGGAGTTATTGCCCGGGACCTGACGAGGGGAATGATCAAACGCACTGTTGTGTATGGGACAGTAACCCTGCTTGCTGCCTTCCAGGAGGTTCTTCATGTAGCGACAATGTTAATATCCGAAATTATTGCCCAGGCCCCAAAGATGGGAAGAACGCTCGCTTCTGCTCAGAGAGTAATGGCAAGGTATTTTGCAGGTAAGGCTCGTGCCGAATTCAGTTCAATAAGTCAACTAAATAAAAATATCCGAAATACAACGAAAAGCACAAGCCAGTGTGGTCACCGTTCATAGTTTCCATTCGCAATTCACACCCCGACAAGTACGGTAAAGTGATGTTCAATTTTTCAGCTTTCAAAAATTTACGTGAAATCTTCGGGTGATATTCGGCAACCTTCGGCAAATTGCTCACAGTATGGTCAGCTCGTTAGCACTCTCAAACTAGGTATTTAACAAGGATTGCGCACTTCTTATGACTAATTATGTTGTTTTCTTGTTTAAGCAATGCACCCTTTTGGATCACAATCGGAATTGTGTTGAAGTTCGTTGCTGTTATCGTTCTGGGTTGTATTTGTGCGATCTGTTGCCGATTTTTCCTATGCCCTAAACTGTAGTACGACATGTAAATTTAATAAAAATTTCCTGTTAACTCAATATAAGTACCCTCACCTTAAATGTAACAAAAGTAGGCGCTAATTGTAATAACTGAACCCCGGGAGTATTCCCCGAAAAATTTGGTTGGGGTGTGCGGCTCGCTTTCCAAATTCCTAACCCTAATTATGACCAAAATCTGCAATTTTCCTTACCCTACTTATCACCTGACCAAAAAAAACCGATACCCTAGTTATGACCGTTGCTGCTGAAACAGTTGCCCTAAAAATAATTTTTTGAAGGGCTTTTGTTTTATGGTCTTATCGATAATGATGAAAAAGTAGCTTCTTCTAAAAAAAACATACCCAATTCAAGACTAGAGCACAAAAGCCATACTCTTTTCAAGACCAAAATGGGCAAATCGACACCCTATTTAGGATCAAAACGGCTGAAAAAATATTCCCTTTGGGGCCGCACATGCCTATATGACCCATATAGGGGAGTACCCCCCGAGGATCTGAACAAACACGAATTTTCTAGTGCCATTTACACGCCATCTTGCCCTTTGTTTACTCTTCTTTTTTTTCTCTACGTAAATTACAATATAATACAATAACTTCCTTTATATAGCGAGTATATACAAAACTCTATATCGCTTTTCAGTCATGAAAGTAAAAATAAATATAATAATTTAAACTAAATTAAGTATAAACTTTAAGATAGAAGTAATTATCTAAAAGCAATTCTGAAAAGATGAGTATTTAAACGCGATTTAAACGCGGCGACCGATGGACTTAACTTAATTTCAAGAGGGAGATCATTTTATAGTTTGGGGGCAGCCACTGAGAAGGCTCCGTCTCCGTAAGTTTTAAGACGTACCCTAGGAAATTGCAAAAGATATTTTCCAACAGATCTTAAACTCCTTGGTGGATTATGGTGGACTAAAAGAACAACTTATCAAACGGCACGAATAATGCCTCAATAAGGATAAACAGAACTTTACCTGAATACATGAACACATCTTTAAGGAAAAACTTTGACGTCCATTCGAGAAGTACTAGAAATTGTAATTTAAATTTATTATGCCCCTCTCACAGAAACGCCTCTGAGGGAGGACGCACTTTCGCCGTCAGAACTATTAAAGATTGGAACAGTTTACCCCGGTCTTTGAAAACAGAGAAGTCCGTTAAATCGTTTAAGGCTAAATTATGTAATACTATTCTTAACTCTCAGAAAACT